TCCTCCAATGTCTCTCGTTAAGGTCGCCGGAATAAGGTAAGGTTGACTCGGCTTCCCTCGATTTCTAATTATAACTCTCTATGCACTAGCTATAAACGCCGCGATTATATACATATTGCGAGGAGACTCGCATTAATCGAAAGTATCATCAAGGTTTTACCTTGGCATTTCCTAGATTCACCGAGGACAACTTCGTATGCTTCTAACAAACAGAGAAATCTCTGACACTCAAAATGAAAATCAAGATACAATATACGAAATGTGATGTTTATCAATATCGTTATACACACGAATATACATCAAGGGAACTAAAGCACGTCACGCTCTTTTTTACATCAATAAACGATCGATTGCAAGTTTTGGAACGTGATGACAAATTTCGATCGTAAATAAGCATAATGCTGTTCGGTCGATCTCACGTCAACGTCAGTCATTCCTGAGTCCGTCAGTTTTTCCTCTTTCGCTGGTTTTCGGGCAGCGTTTACGCGAATTAAGTAGTCGGTTACGCGTCGGTTATTTATTCGATGTATTCGCGATTAATTATCTGGTATAGCTGGCACGGCGGAAAGTAGCTTCTCCAGCAAGTTGGCGCGCGTCTATTTAGAAAGCGCGTCGACGTGAATCCCCTCTTGACAAGGGAGACGCGTTACCGAGCAACACGCAACAGAGTTATGGCTCATTTAACCCGCTACTGGGGAGCTGGATGAAGGGCTTCAAATGCAAAGCTACGGTTAAAATACAGCATCAGCTGAAAGATGTATGAAATACATTTTTCCTGCATTTAGAAACTAGCTACGCACATCCTTTCATCCCGGAATTATAAATACGTTTACAAGCAAGCGTAACGCGCACGCTGACGAAAGAACTATAGACGCCAGAAGAAAGAATCTTAGTGGCCAAGAGCTTAAGAATCTAAAAGTATCAGCTGCGCCATTCTTTTTTTTTTTCTTTTTCAACATCTCCTAAACGGTTGAAAACGTTCGACTCTTATATTTACGAAATGTTTCTACCGAAAAGCAAACGTGTCTGTTTTACACGATGATGCTTAGTAGCTCTAGACGATATATATATATATAAAAAAAAAAATTGTAAAGTACCGAAGGTGATTAATATATTCTGGATTTCTTACAGTTGTTCATGCTTTATCATTTGCATAGGCAATTTGGTAATTTCTAATCACTGTGACAAAAGACTGACAAAAGGAAGGGTTTGTCAAAGAAGATGAGAGATAATCTACGTTCAGCAGTGTAAACGAGGCGCTGTTTGTACGACTAAATCGCGATGAAATAAATTTTGCATATTTTGCATTGCGAGCAATGAGACGTAACGAAGATGAAACAGCATGTTTCGAAACTGGTTTAGAGCAGGCACAGGATTGCAACCGGTGCTAGATACGCGCACGTCGCTCTTAAATTACTTTGTCCTGAATACTTTATTGACATTTTGGCTGAGGCTCAACTTCTGACAAAGATGCATTACATACGACGCGCGTTCGTATTCAGGCTACGCTGCGATTTAAACTGTACAAGTCGTCGCAATTAACGACACGTTGTCGCAATTCTACGTAATCAACTCGTTCTGCTCAAAAATCGTCGTTCCGAGCATGTTCGATCAAGCTGAGAGCAAAAAGCAGAATTACATTTCAAAACATTAAACGGCGAATGTTCTCAGTTTTTTGAAAAATGTCGCCGCGACTCGATTGAGAGAATTCTAACATCAAAAAGGGAAAGAGAGAAAGCAATATCGCGATGTTGGAAAGTTAACGATATTTGCAAGTTCTGTTTCGCCGAGCTGCGAGAGAAATAACGTTATCGTGCGTACAATATAACCTTTAGTTTATTTTCGACGAAATATTTGTCACATGCCTGAAGTTTCGCTTCGCAGCCGAGAGTTTCAACGTAGAATTCTTTTGTCCATTACAGTCGTGCGTGACTTTTAAATGAGGTACTCATTTATGTAGGCAATTAAAAGAATAGCAAAGTGAAAGTTAATTTTATTCGTTTAATATTACACACGCCTCTTCGTCAGTATCACTACTTTTAATATTAATCTGTGCACTTTTTCTCTCTCTTTGCGATTCGATCTTTGAAATCCTGTTTTCTCCGAAACTCCAAAGTGTCGTTATTTCTGTGCAGTATTTAACAGTATAGCACTGGAACGTAATCAGGGAGATACAAAAAAGGGGATTCGCAACTTCTAGGATAAGTAATATTCGAGTATGTAGTATAACGGGAAAAAAAAGTTCCAATTAGTGGATCGAAAAATTTATTAAAACTTTAAAAAAATTTATTCTGAAAGTTGCAAGCAATTTTTTGTTTTTTGCTTCAGTCCGTAAAGCGACTGATTTAACTGCCTTGGACTTGTTTTCGTGGGGATTTTTTTTAACAGTATAGTGCAGAATTAACGACACAGGTGAATTGCGTTGGAAAGTACAAAATGCTAATAGTCAGAACATGTATAAGAATTTTTAAGAGAATACGCAATTTTTTTCATGCAAAGGCATCGGATTCATAGAACTAGAAAAAAAGGAAATAATGAAGTAATCCATTGTTCCAATTCTTTATTAGGACTTTTCGTTTCATCTGGCCACTTAGAAGAGCTATTGATTCAACGTAATATTAACAAACGTGAAACGATCGTTACGTTTCCACGATTTCCAACATTACGCGTTATAACTGAATGAAACGTCACTCGTGTTTCAATAATAGGTAACTTAGGTAAAAATACAGTAGCCTTCGAGTGATGCAAATGTGATAGCAATCAATTGATGCATTGACCCTCAGAACCATAATTATATCCCTGCAATTAATAACTAATAAATCTTTCGTTTTTCTAAATACTAAATCAAAGGTAAAGAAAACTCGACTTCGTGGCTGTGACTGGGTTTGCTTGCTCCATTATTTCCACAATTATTTTTGAGAAACGACAGGTTAATCTTTTGTACGCAGAAACATTTTAGAGTTGCTTTAATCAACTCAGTAATTAAAAACCGAACTTACAAGGATAAATTTACAATTATCCAATGTTTGTACTGATTAAAAAACTTTGCTACTCGTTATTTGCAGGACAGTTTATAATTTTATAATGCCCCGGAAACAATTGTCTGCATTAAATTGACAAATTTTTCTCTCGAAATGATGTGTTCTGTGAATTTCTCAAAGAATAAATCAAACTTGCCAATTTGTCCGAGTCCTTGTATTTGGTGCTATTTATTTTTCTTCTAAATGTAGTATTTAAAAAAGATTTAGATAAATAAATCACATATGAATATTTCTGATCGTAAAGTTCATAATTTTATAAAATGCAAAAGAGGCAATTTGTACCGATTCGTCTCTCATGGAGAAAATTGTGTTAATTGGTACCACGAATAGAGGGTCAAGGTGGCTGAAAGTTGATTTATATATAAACTTAACAATGTAAAAATGCGACACGATATACTAACTATGCATACAGAAATCGATACTGTTACATGCATGATCGATAATGTTATTTCGATGTTGGTGCAATTAGCAATGTAATAAAACCTTGGAGATACTGTCGTGGCTACTAAAATTTAACAAAAAAAAAAAAAGAAAGAAAGAAATGCACTTTCTACACGTTAACTTTAATGAGAAAATTCTAAATAAAGCAAAATAGTAATGAAACAGGATTTTCAGCTTGGTTTTGATTGCAGTGAGCCTTGTATATATTAATTTATATATTGGACTTTCATGTATAAAAATATTCACTACGTTTTCATAATTCTCAATGATATGAAATTAATGTTCTCTCTGACTTCCTTTAAAAGGTATCGTAAAGATACCAAAGGCTAGTAACCAAATAAACTGGCCGAATAACGATTCTTTCATCGCCGGTTGTAAATTAAGAGGCTGAAAAAGCAACGTTGTATCATACGTGTACCTTGTATTTCATGATGTGATGTAGCAGTGTCATAAAATATCGACAGACTGGTTATGTTACACTCTGGTTATACACGTATGTAAAATATACCAGTTCGATCGATATGATACTAAACTACGAGCTACGCAACTTAATGCTATTTCCCAAAGCCTCTACAAGTGATCATATGTAGTTCGTACTGCAGAATGTGATCAATATCGAGGAGATTACAGTTTGCTATTTATTCAGAGATTTCGATGCATACGTATACGTAAATCCTCGTATGCGTGTTATTTATTATTTTCTTTCGACTTTCGGTCGCCACGAGGTGCCTGACGATGAGATTTCGGCGTCGCACAAAACTCAGATAACAAGAAAATGTATCAAACAATTACGTGGCGACACGCATCAAATAATTCAACCGTGAGACAAGAATACCTGCGGTCCGTGTGCGCACCACGGTGAATAATAACACGGCGAGAAAATTCAACGCTGTGAAATTTGTCGGTTTAACGGAAAATGGAGACAACCGTGCACGCATAGCCGGCGGTGATAGGCGCGTTTCGACCGCGCCCGATTTCGTACTCGAGGCACGGTTGTACCAAATAAATCACAGAGCCGGCTTCGCTCTCGCTGTAGATGCGCACGATTGTGGAGCGCCGGTTCGCCGCAAGCGTGACCGTGCTTTCGGAAATAAAAAGATCACGGATCGTGATGCAGGGACGCACAAAGACGGAAAGAAACGGGATACAGTGGTTGAAATGAAAAAGAGGAGAGAACTTGTCTCCCGATTTGGTCAGAATGGCCCTTTTACCAAAAAGATTTCTCTGAAACATGTTTTCCAAGGCACGCTTCATCCACTTTCCGGAAGTCCGTCAAGACACAAAGTTCTTCGAACTTGCTTTTCGCTTTTCGGTAGCAAAATTTGCAAATCCGGTTCAGCCACTTTTACATTTGTATGCCTATGTAAAACACGTTGCGTGGTTTGAACGAAACGCTGGAATTGAAGATCGGCAATTTGCGTCGAAACAACAATCGGTCATAAAGCAATGAAAGCCAATTCGACTGGCATGATTCGCGGGTGAGCTTTGATATTCACAGTTTGTTCGTTCGTTTTCCAGGTAAACGGATCGTGGAGCTTGCCAGGCTTTGTCTGTGACTTTTACATCGCAATGGACGTCACGTGTAGTACCAGTTCCATCTTCAATCTCGTAGCAATCTCGATAGACAGGTGAGCGATCTCTTCCGAAGGAACGAAAGAAGAAAGATGATGAAAATTTCGTGCCTGAAATGAATCTCTCTTGCTCAAGTGATATCTGCGATCGATCCTCGACGTTTCGTCGGCTGAACCCTTCGGCTTTATCGTGCCCAAACAGTCGAACGAAACTCAAACTGTAACTCGTATGCATAAATCAAACTAATTTATGTAACTTTGCACGAAGGCCTGCCCTTTGGCATCAGAAAAAGAAAAAAAGTGAAAAAGAAGAGAGGGAAAAAAAAAAAGAAAGAAATAAACGGCAGTAGTAACCGCGATTCGAAATACTGTTCCAAAGTAAAATACAACTTGCTTGTGTGTGCGTCGCATTTATTTCGTATATCGTATCGTCCTGTCGCAGGAAGGTTGCGGAACCGCAATTGCCGAAAAACCACTGGAAATCATCAAAAAGAAAGTTGTTGATCTAACCGGTTTACGTGACGCGAATAACAGACGCGAGAGAGACAGAGGAAAAGGGACCGAGGTTCGTTCCGTTACATTCGAAACTAGATAGAGTTGTAAGGGCCGGGCGTAATTTCCGTTGATCAAGTTTCGACGAGACGTCCTAACCTAATTAGATCGTTGAGCCGAGGAAGAAATTAAAGCGATCGGCCCTTCGCTGTTCCAAGAAATCTGCGGAGAGCTCGTGAAAATTCGTTTGATCATCAAACGTCACGAATTACGTTCCCTTTCTTTTTTTTTTTTTTTTCTTACGTTTTCCCTCACCGAAAGCGTATTAAACGGCAAACCATAAATTCCGATTATACAGACTGAAACGAACTTAGACGGGAGGACATTCGTCCGTTATAAAAACAGCAAGGCCGAATGATTAATACGGAGGTTTTTTCGGCCAATTGCATGTCGCAATGCAGATAAATGGCTGTACTTTATTAGATATACTTCCCATAAAATCGTAAAATCTGAATCTCTAAATGAATCCCGAAGAACAGACGGTTTAGTTCAGCAATTTAATTAATCACCGACTCGTTTCCGTTTTCCTCGTTCAGCGAGATTCGATTTCGTCTCATTACAGAGAGACATAAATATTTAAAAAGCCCGGTTGGTTTTTTTTTTTTTTTCTTCCAAGGTAGAATCGCTCCGACGAAGATATGTACATCGATCGGGATAGAAATAGTAAATTGGACGATACAGACGAGCGGACGCGCGAGTGTTGGTGGATCAATGTTGATTTGTGGTAACGTAATGCCCATCAAACAGGAGACACTGTACGATACACGAAATGAATTTGAATTGCAGATACATAGCAGTGACCCAGCCGATAAAGTACGCCAAGCACAAGAACAATAGAAGAGTGTGGTTGACGATACTGTTGGTCTGGGCGATATCTGCCGCGATCGGCAGCCCGATTGTTCTCGGCTTGAATAACACCCCTGACCGAATACCGGACCAATGCCTCTTCTACAATGCGGACTTTATCATCTACTCGAGCCTATCCAGCTTCTACATACCTTGCATCATTATGGTGTTTCTTTACTACAACATATTTAAGGTAAAAATATTATTGACAATCGTTCGTTTAAGAATAATCGGCAACGGCGTTGCTTACTATCTCTCTTAACTCTAACGGTCTAATCGTCTAATAGCAAAACAGTAAATTGGCCTAATCGTCTAGTAATGGTAGCAGAAAATTGTAATTTGTATCGTTGGAGAGACAATACTCGATTAAATTTTTCTGTTCCTCCATCAGTGTACTCTTGTTTTCTAATACTGTGCAACTGTTAAGGAAGAACGAATTGTAATTTTCTGTAGTTGCGCGTTGCAGATTCAAAAAATCTGAATTTATGTATTAAACTGAATTGTAAAATATACGATTTAGGGTGTATATATCGCAAGAATGCATGAAAACAAATTTATAGATTCAAAAAAATAATGAATTTTAAACGAGTAACCGATATTCTATTTATATGTATCAGACAAAACAATCCAAATCCGCAAAATTTGAAAAACGAGATTCGTATGTTATCTTTGTAATTTCGTATTATTATTACTCTTATTAATCTACTTCTGTTCTAACGTATTTTATGTAAAATAATACGACAAATATTGTATATTTTCATTTTACCAGAAATAGCATACTATTGTATATAAGCGATCCACGCGTGAAAATAAAGAGAAACAGTATCACATAAACTGAAAAAAAATATATTTATAAAAAGGAACGGAGAATTACTAATAAGAATTAAACTGTAAGATCTCGAAAGTGAAATGCAACCATATACAAGTGTGTGATAATAGCTGCAGCACAATCGAGCAGAAAGTGAAAAAATTAGTTAAAAAAAAGGAACAACATTTTTTTCGTTCGAGACTTCGGTCGTCGAGAAAAAATCAAATTTAAAATTTTACCAAACTCACGTTTTCAGAAAATGCATGATCTTTTCATTAAGCTGCACGAGATCACTTAAACTGCACGCAGTAATACAAAGAATTACAAAACTTTACAATTAATATTGCATCGCGAGTGGACTCGATAAATTTTCAAACTTGACTTTCTCGAAAACAAAGCATCGTACGAAACAATTTTATTCTTTTTTCTCTCGATTTATTCTTTCGCGTAGAATCACCTGGTGTCCGGTTGCACTGCACACCCTATATAATATTTACTGGCTTTTATTCACGCATGATAAACATAGAAAACATGAAACACGAATACTGCGAACATGTTTAAAACATTTACTCTTGACACTTATTATCATCGGCTATACAAATATGATTTCTACCACTTGTCACTTACACAATATGACATCTGTCGTTTCAATGGCTATTGTAACATACTTGTTGCAATACAAGTTTTTCTGGAATGGGTTCAAATAGACCCAACATTCAGCACGCAAAGGTTAATCCTCCGCGGACAATCTAGGTTGTTTGACTAAATGACTAATTCTTTTACTGTTTTTGACTTTTAAAAAAATCTGAAAAAATTTTCGGACTCATTGAAGTCTCTACTTTAACATATAGTAGACCCTCGAATCAAATATTCAAAGAAACAATTAGCAAAAATAAAGATTCACCTGAAACAAAATTCAAGAATAAAATTTGGCACCAGACATGAATAATAGATTGATAATAAAAAATTATTCAATAACAAGTTGTAGTATAAAGCCGTTTATTTGGCTAGTTAACTATAACTTGTAATACTGTTGTTCGTAGGAAATAAAATGTCACCAAATTACGTAGGTATAATTTTAACACACCATATGGAGCAAAGTGTCCCACAGATATGCTGGCTTTTGCGATTACGTTGCGGTTAATCATAAATATGGCTGCTTAGCTATTCTACACTGACCGGAACACATAAACAATTTCGTTTGCATGGTTACTTTCATTCGTTATGATATTAAATTTCCAATGATGTGAAATATGTATTGTGGCAATAATTGGGTAAAGTAGATCTCAAATTTAACACATGGTAAGTTTGCAGTCGAGAATCAGACTAAAGATTTTGTTGTTGTTGTTGTTGTTTCTTAGTAAAGCCGGAAAAATGTATCAATTTTTTGACGAAAAAATTAAAAAGAAGAAAGGAAAACACGAGATGAAAGAAGAAAGAAGGAGAAAAGTAAAGGAATGATGAAGAAATAGAGCAAGGAATAAACGAAAAAAGAAAAGGAAGGAAGAAAAAAAAGAAAAAAAATATCCTTCGAAGTACTTTCGTATTTAACACTTTGTATTTTAATACTTTTGTACCTTTGATTACTAATTTTGCTAAATAGATATTTATATTAATACAGAACATGCATATCCTATCTCACCATTATTCTGCAATAGATTCCTTTTACTATTTTTATTGCAACTTAAAAAGAAACGTCCATCTTGAATTGCAAAGCATCACACGATTGACCGTTTTGTTTATTTTCTACAGCATGACGATATAATAATGCCAAACTATTATTTGATGCGAAGAAAGGAAACAGTATGAAATGTAAAAAGTATCTTTTGTAATTCAGCCGTAATTCACAGATCATTTCGTTTCTCCTAGTGAGTCATTCAGCTGCAAATCAAATTATCGACTATACACATGATACTGTAAGAAATATTTCTCCTGTAAAATTGTCGTGACAAATCTCTCGACGTTCTGGTACCTGTAGGCGATAACCTGCAGGCATTGTGCGTTACCTGTCCTGTATGTCGTACGAAGATTTATTTCGCGCGTTTGTTACCGATTGCCGGATTTATCTTGAAACAGTGATTTCAATTTACCATTTCCAGGCGTTGCGGAACAGAGCGAGAAAGGCAAGGATCAATAGAAAGCCTAACTTGGGCGACATAAAACCAGGAAGCATAATCGAGAACATCGCACATACTCGCAGGTAAGCCGACACTTGTACATCGTTCGTTAACGTATATTCGCATTCTTCGCGAATATACCAAGAATTTTCTAGGAATTCCATTCGAATCGACGCTGGTTAAGGGAGAAAATGGATGTAAATTTTGTAGAAAAATTTCTAGAATTAACAGGCACTTATAATCGAGTCGAAAGCTTAAAGAATTCTTATCATTTCGAGGGTAAAAAAAAAAAAAAAAAAAATAAACAGAAAAGAAATTTATAATAAACGATGAATTAATCGCATCGTATCGTATTTAAATTCGTCGAGAAAATTCGAAGAAGAATCGTCGCCGATACTTCGTTGATAATTGGAATAATCTCCACAGCATGTGTTTCACATTGCATGTATGCACTCTGTTGCATGTTCTGTTGTACAAGAGAGAAGCAACGCGGCTTTATAATTCATACTTGTATTTATAGCCACGTTCTTATACCACCAATTTGTAGAACGTCTCCTACGCGCGTTGCACGAGCACATAATTTCGAACAAAGGAGTCTCGAACATAAATAAGCGATCCTTTAGGAGAGAGTGAACGATTATCCGACAAAGAGATGATAGCATTGAACTGCTGACGCTTTTCAACGACGTTCGCGATAAACAAAACGTCTGTTGACGGTTCTTCTAATGTCCCTAACGACGAGCAGTTGAATGTGTGATCTCTCGGCACACGCCGCGCGTAAGGAATCGATATTCAATTTCTACGATTTCGCGTGGTAGATCGGAAAACGTTGTTGAATAGTTATATTCGTGAAGGTGTCGCATAAGACGGCCCCGTCGAGAACGAGCGAAGAAGAACTAGCCTCATTTCGAATGTGTCGCGTGCTCCTCGAGCGAGTCACTTTTTTTCAATTGTCCCACGTGTAGTAACTCTTGCATTCCAACGAGAGACAATATCTCACGAAGATTGCGAGCGTGTCGGCGAGAGTACGTCGCTGTAAGACGAAAGATGGTGCGTGAAAGAAAGGCGTGTAAAAAGAGGAGAGAGGCTAAGGCGTAGTTAAGCCCGGAGCATCTTCGTATAATACGCTTTTCTCACGCGCAGGCTTCATTTCCGTTATACCCGGGGTCGGTGTACTTGCCTTGAATAGCCAACAAGTTCGCCTCGATTTAATTGCCGGCTTTTGTGCTCGCCTCTTCCCAACGGCCGTACGTTTGTTCATCGATGAGAACCGTACAGAAGAAATCGTTTTCCTCCTTTGCCAGCGGACTGAAAGGCATGTAGCCTTGTCTGCCAGTGAAGATGATTTAATACCCGCCTCATCATTTTTCCTTTCTTCGGATGGAAATCCATCTTCCGGACGAGTGGCGACTTAACTTTCGTTGCCCCTGTCTCAGCTTACACTTTCAACTTGCACTTCAACGCTGTCGTGGATGTACAGTTGCTCGCCGATAAAGCAGCGAGAATTCAAAGGACTTTCAAGTCAAACGTTTCGAATTGATCGGATTAGAAAGGGATGCTTTGTAAATATACATGTATACGTAAAACTTAAATTTTCAAGATCATGTTTTTTACGTACTTTTTCTCACCAGCTACACACGATATAAAAAATAAAAAATACACAGTTGTATAAAAAAAAAAAAGACATCAATGAGCTTGGAAAAAAAAGATTCTCTATCTACATTGACTTTTCGATGCCATTCATGTTGGGTAACAAAAATTTTCTGCATTATCACAATTCGAAAAAATATTTAGGTGGCCTCATTTAAATGGACCATTTTGTTTGTGTATATGTATGCACAAACTAGGTAGGTAATTTAATGGTATTAATAATGATTCCCACGCTTGGCTGATTATTGTTTATACGTTCCTCTTAGGTTCCTACTATTTCACATAGCACCATCATCGATAAATTAGATTTAGATGTTTCCAGCAACAGCCATATTTTGGCTATGCAACCGTATCTTTTCCCCCGAGTCCCATACATTCAGCATAATCTCGAGCCTGCGTCCGAAATCCGCACAACTCTCTACCGTCTCCTACTCTTGTGTCGTTAACATTAGCATCGATATATCTTTACGTAAACCGTGTATACTGGCCATATATGCTTTCTGCACTTGTCCTGGTTACGAAAAACAAATGGCCCCTTTTTCATTAGAAAACGTTTCAAATTAGATCGCTGCGCGTAGCTAACAGCTATATGAACATATAAACGAGCAGGCAACGATGCAAATTCAATTATATACATATATATACGTAAAGTCAAATATCGATTCTATTGTATATAAAATTAATTTTGGAAATATACCGTTTGTAACTACAAAATCGTTAATCGGTTCGGAAAAGTCGCGAAGCTGGTAGAACTGGTCGTTCAGATCGAGCGCTAAGTCATTCGCCAATCCAGTTCCTACGAAATTGGATCCCCGATAATCCGATTGTACGCAGCGGATAGCAAATGTTCATATTAATCCACGCATGAAATTACTTGATAAGTTCAGCTTTTAGCTGAGTCTGGGCTGAGACAATAGGCCAGAAGACGTGCGTAATTCGTTTCGAATTGCGCCGCAAGATTGAACGTCTGCCGCAGGAGTAATTCTAAATTGCTCCCATCCGATAATTGTATTACCCGTTTTCGATCAATCGGGAACGTGCCAGTTGAAATATCAAAGGTCCGTGCCATTCCCTCGGTCGGAAAAGAATTACCTTTCCGAGTTTCATTTTAGCTGAAACGCGGCCTACACGATCCCCATGAATCGCGAAGGGCGCATTCAACGAAGTAAAAGCCAGGTTCTTTGTTCGTGGCAAAGTTCCGAACGAAGTCGCGAGCGCAGGCGTAGTCGCTTTGTGCATGATAGATTAACTTTGCCTCTTTGCCGGATTAATGCCGGCGCGTCGCCGAAGAATACTAAAAGCATGCTAAGTGTAGAAGCTTTTTTTTAGAGGCTTTTGACTAAGATCACGTAGTGGGTATTCTGTGGCAAGGTTTGCGGAGACGGCGCTGGGGGCGGCAGCACTCGTCGCTCCTGGCATGGAGGAGCCGACGAACACCGCGTCAGGAAGCAACGAAGACGAGGACGAGACGCCCCTTGATCCTGTCGTGGTCATCTCGAACGATAAGAGCACCGAGTTTTTTTTGGCCACCGTCGTCGAGGAAGCAGCGTAAGAGTCCAATAAAATTCTTTTATCATCCGTATCGACGGACGAACGTTCGCAAGTTTCGTTGCTTTGCAATTTCTCTTCCTTTTTTCGCGGAAACTCATAACGAGCAGTGAAAGCGATACTTGTACGACAAATAGGTGGAAGATCGTGAAGAAAAACATGTCGATCCGTCTTTTTTTTCTTTTTTTTTTTTCTTTGAGACAGAGAATACGAAATTAGAGTCGTTGAAAGTGTCCCGAGTAAATTAACGAGAGTAGAAAAAAATAATGAAGCAACAGTCGGCTAAAATCAATTAGTATTCATAACCAACGGCGTACAACGAACAAAGAAAGAATACCATTTTCTTGTTCGTTGGAGGAAATGAATTTTCGATTACTTTGTGAAGCGAGAGCAGGTTTCGAGTTTCTTAATTAATCAGATTCACCAATGACGTTCTTATTTGGCACTGTTTTGCGCCGTGTCTCTCTTTTAAAATTCCTCGCTAGCTGCTTGCTAATTGGGCTTCGTCTCACGTTGCGACAAAGTGCAAACCGACCGGTGAAAGAAAAGGGGCTGAATTGCATTTTCCGCATAAGAGTTGCACGAAAGGAAGCTTGGATTTTTTATATTGCCTACGAGTCGATAATTCATTGGCGTAAAGAATTACTCGTCGACACATTCGATAAAAATAGGAACAAAACACCAATAAACTCGGTCCACTGTGAAATCGATTCGTTTGTTTGTGGAGTGTCCACTGGTCCAGCAAGTTGGAGTAGTAACTATATCGATTGAACGCGGAAGACGCGGTCTCGATCGATGCATGCCTTCGTTTGCGGTAACGAAACGTAAGTGGAAAAAGGAAAAAGACGGGCAGTCACATCGCTGGCACAATGGAATAGGTAACGAATAGGAAGAAGGGACGACAAATGATTCGATTTCTTCGGTTTGCCGGCGGTGAACGTGGAGGAGCGCTAGCGTAAGTATACCTATTCAAGATGTTCAAGACGAATCTCGTGCAAGGACGATAGATACCTATTCGCTACGCTGTAGGAGAGCTTCGGAATACGCTGACTAATCGTAAGATAGATACGTGTTGATCCGCGTGTATGCGAACATGCAGTGTACTGATATCTTTGAGACTAATCGCCGAGAGCGGTTGCATCTACACGGTACAATTACACAGGCAGATTTGTTGTTCAGCCGTACGTACATACAGCCATACGCGGACAGCGCGTTAATGCCCGCGCTATTGTTCGACTAATCAAACGTTTTCGAACGAGATGAACTAACTTGCCCGAGAACTAATTTCTCATCGGTGGGTTGCGTTTTGACAGCGAACGCGAACGTTCGTCTCTGTAGCCATACTACACGAAACAACGCTTTTTTGCTCGCAGGGAGGAAGGGGGGAGGGCATAATTACAAACAAACAAACAGCGATCGAACACGCTATACCGACGTTGTGTAGAAGTGCTGCTGATTACTTGAATTGCAGTTGTCGTTTCAGCGCAGTGGCTCAAGCTCAGCTGGGTGGAACGCAGAATGCCAGAAAGGATTCTGGATATGACGGCGCAGCGAGCAGCACGGTGATTCACGAGCCGCTAGAAACGAATTCCAGCCCGAGTCCGAACCCACGAATCACCTCGGCCCCGTCGTCCTCCACATCTTCGTCGCCGCCTCCGAAAAGTGCGCCGGCGAGCCAGGCCTCGCAGCCGAAGAAGAACGGCGCCGAAACGAACAAGCAAGAATTAAAGAGGCTCAAGAGCGCCGGGTCCCTTCTTCCTCTTCAACTTGCACGAACGCCAAGCGTTCTGTCTGGTTCGTCTGCCTGCAAGAAGGACAAAAAAAATGCCGTTTCGGGCTCTCGGTTCACGATATACAAGGCCAACAAGGCGAGTAAGAAAAAACGGGAGAAAAGCTCCGCAAAGAAGGAGCGCAAAGCTACGAAAACGCTGGCTATCGTGTTAGGTACGTTTTTGCTCGTCCTGCTCCTTCTTCCCGTCAAGTAGAGTATCCATTTCTCTGTTGCAGGTGTATTTTTAATCTGTTGGCTGCCGTTCTTCACCTGCAACATCATGGACGCAATTTGCACAAAGCTGACGGTAAACTGTCAACCGGGTGTCACAGCCTTCATCGTGACATCTTGGCTAGGCTACATGAACAGCTTCGTAAATCCCGTGATTTACACTGTGTTCAATCCCGAGTTTCGCAAAGCTTTTCATAAACTGGTCAGCTTCTAGACGAGTCACTTCAGTTGAAGCGGCGTTTGTCTTGAAAGGAGGAACACAACGAGATATTGGACAATCGAACAGCTCAACACTTGTCCCGGCGAAAGGTATTTATCGTATTCGCGGACCTCTTTTCGTAAACGCGCCGTCTCTTGTAGATAGGACGCTCTGAAAAGCCAACGACCTCCTCTTGTCCATCCGATCGAATTACGTTGAAGAATTCCAGCCACCGACTCCACCGAGTAATCACCGTCGCGAAACGAAACAGTAACGAAAACCGAATCGAAGCTTTTTACGAACGGAATTACATTGCGCACTTTTTACTTGTTGTTTATCAGAAAAAAAAAAATCAAACCATCGTTAATACCCTTAGCACCCTTGCATCCATCTATCGCGCGTCATTGTTCGAGTCTCCGACGATATCGAACCGGAGGCAATGTGCATCGATGTTAGAGCTGAACTACCAAATAAATATTTAAGCTAACTGTAAGTAGTCGAGTAAATGGTAGGGAAACGTACACGTAGGGAACGAAGACGAGCGTTACGATGGTTGATGCGTTGAACGCGTTCAAAATCGCGTTCCCTTTCCATTCCGAAGTAAACTGGCTGCATAAATAACGGAAGCGGTGAAAAGAAGAGAAAGGAATTGCAGCACGTACACGTTATAGCGGTGAACATCAGGTTGAAATACAAAATCGATGGAATGCGCGTCTGATAAGTGAGAACCATATATATTTATATATACTTTGTTGGATATTAAATATACCGTGGCAGTATTATCGTAGCTCGTAAGGTATAGCGACATTTTCTGGCTCAAAGCGAAGGAACCGAATTTGTCAGTTTGACAGAACCCTGACAAACTGTTACACGTTCAGTACACCCGTGCGTCGCGGTCTAATCTCACCGTCTTTGTAAGTATTACGTATGACTATCCGGACACGAAGCATCGTCTTTTCTTCGTATCGTTTCGAGACTCTTGTGTCGCGGCGTTCTAGCATGCGAGAAGATCGATGAACAGGCTCCCGAAGTTCTCGCGAGTCTTTGAATTTTTCGCGAGTTCTACAAATCCACGAGAAAGACAAAGGTTGTGCAAGCTTTGGAATCGTGTTTCTCGATTTTTCAAAATTCATTCGTGCGAAGGGGGACGAGAGAATTCGAGTGGGTCTGTCGAACGTGTTCGATGCATACCGTGCCATTTCTACTACCGAGTCTTTTTTATCATTTAAAACATCGACGATAGAGACTATATTTTCTACTACGTACACGCTCAGCTACAGGATTTAAATTTTGCACGATATTCCACGCGAGAGAGAGAGAGAGAGAGAGAGAAATTCTCGAAAGATCCTCGATGCAGCCGTCTTTCCTCCGATTTCCTTTAAGCGTTTCTTCAATGTGGAACGTACGGAAATTATTTGCTCGTTTTTGTCCCCTCCCTGTCGATCATTTTTGCGTTACGAGTGCCATATGTTGCACTCGTAATCAAGATTTGCGTATTGTCTTTGACGCGTTAACTGCATGGAACGTTCGCGTTCAACTCTGGGAAAACGAAAATCGATGGCAAAAAAAAGGCGTCCGCTCCCGCTTTTGCCTCACCCCTGGCTCCAAGTGTCCAGAGGGATTCCTCGTAAAGATCGCCATTGTACGCTCGTGACGCGTTCGACAGAGTCGAAACCCGAAACACGGTCGATGCACGCGCAAAACACCCGCATCGGCTCCGCTTCGTGTTCTATCTCCATGAACGTCTGTAATGTTTCCGGCGTCCGAATTTTTAAACATATCAATACAAGTACGAAGCATGATACGTAGCCGTATACTGGCATCCGAGACGCGCTTACCGAGCATGTGTATGTGTGTTAGATGGGCCACGCAAAGTCGAAAATACTAGGGAACGTGAAACGTTGCCGTCAAAAGAAAAAAAGAAAAAAAAAAAAACGCATAGTCTCGCGCGACCCGCGATCCTGCAATAACGTTTACAATCAAAGCTTTTTACTCTATGAGTTCTATACACGAGTCTTTCACGTCGTGTCGCGTAACCCTGAAATTTCTTGAATGTATATTTGTACATAATTAGTAGAGATGATTAACAAATTACACGAGTCGTGCAATCGGTTGTAAGGCGACGCGCGTCTAAATGCACGCGATTGCCCGCTAAGACTTAGGTATCACAATTACTAAACGTTAGGAGTAACGATAATGTGTATCGCTATACCTTCTCTGGATGAATTGTGATAAAGCTTTGTTACGTAATGTTTACCCGGTGACCTGGGTAAATTTTCTAGTTTGGCAGCTTTTCTCAATTCTGTTTCGCTACAGATTCTTCTTTGAGAAGCATCATTTTAAAAATGATCGTTTTTAAAATGAGAAGTCAATCGGGAGACATTATACAGTGTACCTTTATTATTTTTTTGTTTTTTTTTTCAAGAAAAAGGTTATATTAAAAAATTTCTTTTTTCACGTCACGAAGATATTAGATATTAATATTTCATTGCTACCGTGATATAATTTATCAGATGAAATGGAATCGAGTACAACAAAATTTGAATCATATAGATTATTTGTACTGTTAGTACATATTTGCTTATTGGCGTTTTCGCACAAACACTCGATAATCGCCGGGCACACCAAACAACTGTGCTTACGAATGTTTGTTAATGTCTGTAACTCTTTCGATCTTCTCCGATTGATTTCTTGTTTCAGCGACAAAATGGACCTTATGTTTGAGAAACAGTGGCAAAATAGTCAAAATTGGGGGAAGCCGCCTAACCTAGAAGTTTACCATTGTAACCTGTTACAAGATTTGATTCACCGATAATTTACGATGTGAAACGAATCGTTAAACAGACCGATGTTTTTATTTTCCAACTTTCTCGTCATTCATCGAATTGAACGTAAATCGACCGAGAGAAACGAAGTCTGCATTGTATCGGCGGGTTGAACTGCGGTATTAAAGCGCCGCGTTATTTTCGGTTTGCATGATTCTCTTAATTTGCGTAACTTTTTTCGTAACTTAAATCTCATAAACCGGCAGAGCTACGTAAATCCGTTTTGTTATAGCAAATAAAATCCTCGCCGACGGACCGGGAACTTTATGTCCTTCCATAATGCCGTAACGAACTTTTCGCTCAGTTATTCCGAGCCGGTAAAATTACAGCCGGGCGCCGATTCGCGACAGATCATGCCACGTGCCATTTTACACCACCGGTTATTTATTGGCAAAGTTCCTTCGTTCTCGGTCGTTAACAACAAAGATAACGGCGAAACTTTGCGCCAGCGGTCACCGAATCATCTGGAAACTATCCGCAGATTTCTTTTTTTTCCATTCGCGAGGGAATCGTCGTCGAGAGACAAACACCGACCAAAGCTTTTTCTTTAAACACTCTGCGATTAACCACCGACAACAGGAAAAGGACTCCGGTTGAGCCACGTATGTTTCTGCGTTGAGCGAAAAATCAACAAGCATTTTCTTTCGACGTAATGCACGTGAAAATGCGTTATAAAGTTTCTTACTGATCCTGCTAAGATTGCTGTATTTTTCTAACCCCGATACATTCCCTTCTCTGTATATAAATGTGTATGTACTTACACAACACACGCACACACACACACACACACACACACACATACGCGCGCGCGCGCGATACAATGTATCTGTGTTTTAACGACACAATACGAGGATAGCGCTGTACATCTATGTAAATATATATCAAAACGATAAAGAACGCGGGCGTATACGAATCGACTGTTAGATGCTCGTCTCGAAGTTTCCGGCGATTCTAATTCTAACCTGAATCACGGGAACTCTCGAGAACACGTAGGAGGCCAGTTTCTACCTCCTCGAGACGCGAGAGGCTGAAAAAAAAAAAAGGAACGCATGAAACAAATACAAGTAAGTGTCCATTAAGAAATGTGTCGTTTCCGTGCGAGAGAAAACTCCGTTTTTCCTATGAATTTCTTAATTACTACTACGAATGGTCTATACAGGGCATAGATGTAAGAGATAAATCTTTAATTTGCCGAGATTAACTATAAGCGAAACGAATTAAGTGGAAAAGGAAACTGAATATTCAAAATGCTGTATGTACTGATGGCAATACTTATACATATTCACACGCGAGAGGAACACACGGGACACAGACACGATTAATCAGAGATAAAAGAAAATCGAATACACACGGACACTCGTCGAAATCAATAAAAACATAGTATAAATCAGTGTCCTCGAGTTTTCATTTCACTAGCTCCAGCTCCGCGAAGGTGAAAATGAGAAAGGTAAGTGCCGGGATGTTAAATTGAGTTCCGCTATCTTTCCGGTATAGAAAACACTTGCCTCTGCAGATTTTTAGAGAACAATGGAAGCCGAAAAGTCGGATGTCCTCGTGGTATTTGTTCGAGTCGGTGCAATCCACAGTGGCAATGGTCATGGACCAGCAAGTACGAACGAGTTGGTCAAATTGAATCTACCACGAAATCGTTTCGCGTCGACTTTTACGTATATCTCTGAAATAGAGAACGCTTTCTACAATGGTAAGAAAAAAGATGTGGAACGACGATCTCTGAAATAACCTGCCTGAAAAAATACGATACATCAAATAACCGCGGCAGCTCAGATAACGTACGAGGCGTTAATGGTATTATATCGAAGTAAATATTGAACGGTGACAAAAAGTATAATGTGTTATAGACAATGGATTGAATCGGACGGGAGAAGAAGACGGAAAACGGATTCGGTAAAATTACTGATGATCCTATTACATATTTCTATCAACAGAAATGTTTATTTCCATTATGACAGCAAATTAAATTATAATGTTTACGGATTATATGCTATGAGATAGATTAAACTATGAAATAGATGTCTATGTATCCTAGAGTTTCTTAAACTTTGGTAGTTTGCTAAAATATTTCGTAATGATATAAATAAACACGCAGTTTCGAACGATGGCCACAGTTGCACGTTCACCATAAGTGTTGACCCAATTCGACCTATAATAGAGACGGTAAAATTATTTCGCTTCATTCATGAATAATCATAGTTATCCTACTTGCAGTTAAAGCATGTTTATAGCGACCATATTTACGAACTGAGAGTACTATATTGCTGAAACATTCTATAATTGCCGATGGAAGAAAAACATGTCGACAGGTCGCTAAGATCTCGCAATTATCTGCGATTGATCTGCAATTTTAGAAAAATTTTTCACAAATCACTCTGTTAAAACGTGACGATCGATACCGAAGCTTAAAATTTTTACGAGGTGTAGTCAGCTGCTAACAACAAACTTCCATCGTAAATACGTAACTCATGTTACAAGTATTTGAAACAAAATATGTTCTCGCATACTGATGGGAAAATTTTCCTGTAAAACGAGCCACCGAACTCGAATGCAGCAACTTTCCCAATACGTGCATCATGCAAGCTAGAACGTACCCACTCCACCAGAAGAGGTTTACCAACTTCTCGAGCTTCATACCGTATAAAGTAACAGACGCAAGAAATTTCGCGTTGAAAAAATTTCGACGCCGCAAACAAGATGGAAGTTTTATTCGTGAAAAGGAAATATTGCAAGTATAGCGAAACGTTGGGAATAGCGGTGGAATCTTTAAACGGGACACATTCGCCTCCTCTCCTAGAGATCCGCGCGATTATTTATTGAAAATTTACCTTGGAAAACGTAGGGAGCTGATACCGCGGCATCTCTGGCAAACTTAACCCCAATTTTGCAATGTCGAGATTCGTGGAGCGTGGGCTGGGACTAGTTGAGCGCAAAGTGTAACCTATCCCTCCGAAACCGCCTAGCTGTAACTGCGGTCCTGTGCAAACAACACGCGTTTCACGGATTACGCCGTCCGAGAGAGAAGCGGAAAAATCGCATTTGCTGATCAATGATGAAACAGGCGCGTAATTACGTACGATCGATGTACCTGTGGAATACGATTCACTCCTCGCCGGTTCAAACGTTCGCAGCTGACCTACATGTTGGAAATTCTGACCAAAGTTCAAAGTTGATATGCCAGTAGGAACGTCCGATGACAGGCTGTTGGATATGCCTCCAGATATTCCGGTGTTTATCCCCTCAGGTAAACTGTTGAATGTGCTTCCTACATGACTGCTCAGTACGCCCGAGGGCAGGCCGGAAGAGAAAGTCGTACCTGAAAAAAGAACGCGGCCGTGATGGAAAAAAACAGCTCGTTTCAGTTGACGAAGATATTTCGCGTTTCCTAATTTCCTCGACTTGGCAGATATTCGAAATTAATTAATCAACTTCTCGAGGTAAAAATGATATAACAGCAAAAAATTGAAAAGATGAAAAGGATGGTCTTTTCGATGATAGGAAGAAATCCATCGGAATTGAAGACCCACGCGAGAAGGATGGAAAGAGAAGAGGAACGAGTGGATGAAATTTTGAGAATTATAACTGGCTGAAGGTAGAAGCATCAAGCAGAAAGTGGGCTTCCCAATAAAGTTGACCGCGACTCGGCTCTTTCGCACTGGGATCTAGCAATAAAAGGGGTAAAAGATTAAATTTCTCTTAACGACGGGATGGCCTGGAGGCGAGTTTCTCTCGGCCATCGAATAACGATTTCGGTCTGAGCTTTATCGATTTATATGAAGAGGCTATACCTAACGGGAGGCTAGTGGACCTGGACGAGTCTTGAGCCACGAAAGCAGACATTCTTGGCAACGTTATCGGAATGTAGTTTATCGCCTGCATTGGCCGAGAAACCGCTGACAAAGTTGCAATCGGTATACTTGGCAGTGTCATCGTTGGCCTCTCGACTACCGTGGCTAATGGAACATGATTCGCAGTTTCCGATAGGGAAGTCTGTTGGAAAGGTAGATCACGGTTCGATTCCTGCTGCAGCAAATAGCTCAGCAGAGAACTCTGCAAATTGTTCTTCAGAGGGCCCTTTGATTCTTCTGAAAGTACGTAATTTAATACAGTGCCGGGGATCTTGTTGTTCGGGCTGTTATTCGATACATCTGAAAGTGCTTGGTTCAACGGCAGAATTTGCACGTTGCTTTTGATGCCGTTTTTCGCCTGTTGTGATAGCAGATAAGCAAGCAGAGACTGCTGAATCTTGTTCTTTAACCCATTGGAAAGGTAATAAGACGTTGTCGGTGAGGTAACTCTAGTCGGTTGAAATTCAATTGGAGGTACGGTTCTGCAAAGAAAACAGAAACAAATTGGAATAAAAAGACAAGAAAAAAGAAAAAGAGAAACGAAAAGCAAAGTTAATTCACTCGCACAGGATATCAGTTCAATGGATAGAAGTTCAACGGGATGAAATGCTCTAATAACTTTAGTTTCAGAAATGCATCTTGAATACGGTGTGATAGTGACAGAGGAAAGATCACGATCGATCAAGCAAGTAACAAGTCCTGACAGTATCATTACGTACTGTCGTCCAAAAGATATGATTGGAGATTCCGTGTCCATGACAGGTAAGGTAGCTTCGGTGGTCGGTAAATGAGCCAAGTTCGAAGGCTGCTTCCTGGTGGCCGAGGCGGCTGGTATCGTAGAAATTGTTGGAGTGGATACGCTGGTAGTAGCGGCGTCGGCCAGCTGAAAGCAATTACTAACTTTTATTAGAACTTTTAAGATTCGCGGTCGTTGCCTCATTCGTACGGATTCAGTTCCGAAGTTGTAAAAAGGTTACGGTACAGGTTGATTAAAAGTTTCTCAAGCGTCGGATCGAAGGTGTTTCACACCAAGCCAGGCTCCAACTGGATTTGCCACGAAGACGTCGACGAAGTAACGAACGAATCGGCAAAGTGATCGGTAAATCGTTATAAGCAGAAAAGACGGAAAGACAGAGCGAAATTATTGCTAAAACGGAGCGTTACGCTGCGTCGATAAAATTGAATACGACACGCTGTGATGTATGAAAAGTATATTTTGCTCACCGTATCGGGTTTCATGGTTGGCATTGTCGCCGTATACGAGAACGGAGCCATTTTCAGCTCGGAAGTCGTAGACGTATGAACCTGGGTGGTAACCGGGGTGGCAGAAGAGGCGGTAGATTGTTGCAACGGTTCGTGGGTGGTTGTCGAAGCCATCGACGGTGCCATCGTCGTCAATGCTTCCTCGTTCAATAGTAGAACGTTCTCGTACGGCGAAATAGGTGGCACAGCCACGTATCCTAGACCATGGTTTCCTGAATATCAGAGAAATTCTTCCTTACAATGCCAATTTTTCACCTATTTCGATTCGACGTGTCCCTGTGCTTTTGTAAGTAATGATTTCTTCGAAAAGGCACGAAAATAAAACCCTTAATAAACGACATCAGCTACTACAGCCTCTCTCTTAATTAGGGTGCTTACCGTGCTTCAAATACTCTGAATCTCTACCAAACGAATCGACCTGTTGCTGCCTTGATTGTTCTTTGTGAGACTCAATTGGTTTATCGTACACGTCAGCGAATCGAAAATCGTCACGGTAAGTTTGCCGATAGGAGGAATATCGATCATTTAACGGCTGATATTGAAATGGCCGCTCGTTTCTGTAAACCGTCCGATCTTTGTCTCCTTGGTACTTAAACGGCGTTCCATTTGCAAAGAACGACTGTCCATGGAAATCTGAAGCGTTTTTAAACGACGAAATGTTGTCATAAAATGGTTGATCTTTTAATAACGCGTAATCTCGTAACGACAATTGATCCTTGAAAGACAGCTGCTCAGAATGAGGGGGTAAGTCCTGTCTATACGGTCGATATCGATAAGGTTGGTGTTGTTGCGTTTTAAACGGTGGCTCTCGAAATGAATGATCGTGAGAAGATGGATACCAATCAGTCTCTTGATAAGGTGGAAAATCTTCCAAAGCACTGTATCTTCTTCCTTTCCTGTACGCGGCGACGACCACCACCGTAAGCGCGAATACGATCTGAAGAAATAAATAGATTTATTTATGATAATGTGCATTAATATCGGTTATTTACGATAAAACGAAAAAAACAAACGACTCACCAGTTTCTTCATTTCAGCCTCTTATGCGCTACGAAATGCGAAGAAGAAAATTGTAACAATCACGCGCAAAGATGGTCTGCGGTCGATCACTGCCATCAACTTTCTTATATAGTTAGGAAACGGGAGAAAAACCGTAACTCGCATCTTACCCACTTCTTCTCGTTTTGCGCGTCTTCCAGATCAGGTATGAAACTGGATCTGGTAAATCATGTATGTACACCGACGCCTTTCTCTTTCTATGACAGGTTCATTGCCAGATATACAATGGACCCGATATATTCCCCGTGCATATAAGGAATGCATATACGAACGTAGAACTTTGAGTGAAACTTTATATTTTACTGCGGTATTTGTATTTCGGGACAATTAAAAACCTAAGCAAGTTCCTTGTTTCACCGAAAAAGCAAAAAAGTACCATTTTTATAACGCGTATAACGAATAACGCGCCGTTCTTTAGGTTCTTTGATAATTTATGCTCGCTGTAAGCTCTCCTATTTCTGCTTTATGTTACGCAACTTTCCTTAGTAATTGTCAACGTCGAGGTTTTCTTTCGACCTTCGACGAAAGCTTTCAAATGAGGAGTTGGTAAAAGTGTTGCGATATTTGTCACGAGAAACATAAAAGAGGTACATGTCGATTTTTTAGAGGGCGATAGAATTGGTAATAAAAAATTATACGTCGACTTTCCTTTCGCTATAAAATGTTGATAACTTAAAATACAATGTCTAACTAATACAATAGAAATTAATATAGAAATTAAATTTAGACGTTTATTTATGAGTTTAATTAAATTTAGACGTTTATTTATGAGTTCAATTGATTATGAATTATATGCATGTATTAATTTTGAATACATTAATAGAGCATAGTAAGCCCGGTACAATATATTTAAATACCAGCTGTTAAATATTTATTATTACATAATAGCAGAACATTTTCAGCTTAAATAAGCAACGAAGCTGATAACAATGAGTTGTAAACATGTCTGTAGAAATTACGTAAATGGCAAGTAATTTACAGAAACTCATTTTGTAAGATTCAACGGTACATTTATTTACCAAAACATTGTTTTGACTCCAAATATTTGTCACGAGAATCTCATTTAGTTTTCAGAGGGAATTACAGTAAATCGTGATGTTAACCGAGTAAACAATCACGGTATATTAAGAAATATCATTTACAGAAATGTAAACTATACAACTTATCCTGCAATTCGCTAAAGATGAACGACATACATACTTATTTACCAAATTATCAAAACTTCTTAGGAACTTTGAGTTTCCTCAACGTTAATTGCATTTCTTTAAGGCAGCAAATTGAATATTTGTCACAGAGTTGGACAAAACGTAACCTGATTAATAATTAACGATTATAATTAATGTGGAATCAGAATATTAATCATGATTACTGATTATCAAATATAATTGATTAATGAATAAGGGAATTAGTCATAAAATGATTACAGTTCTAATTATGATTAGTATTTTATTTATTATGATTGTAGTTTACTTCTATCGACTGTGTATATTTTGTAGAAACTACATATTTATTATTTGCATTGTTTTGCAATGTACACTGTTTTGTTAGTGTTCAAAATATTTTCCATCAGTTGAAAGTTTCATCTATAGTTCTTGAGTCTAAATTGGTACAATCTTCTTGTATGGCATAGAGAAAATGAACTTTAATGATAAACTTGTCAAGATTTTACTTGATAAGAAAAAGATTACTCCTACCTTCAATATTCAAACCACCAAAATTAGTAAATATTATTTACTTCTGAATACGTGATCTATATTATTCGTTTCAGACCTTAAATCATTTTGCTCCTCAATGATGAAAACTATTTATCTCAGTTCCTAAATTTTTTTAAACCTCCTTAAAGTCCTTAAACTTTTTTAATAGATTAAACAAATATTTGTTATCATATTTTAAATCGATTTCGAAAGAGATTACCTTTAAGAAAATCAGAATAAAGCTACTTAAGAAAGTTATCATAGAATTCCCAATATTTGATAACTAATGATAGACGTACGATCATTGATAATAAATGATTGTGGATAGTCGATCATTCAAGATAATCGAGAGTCTATTATAAGGATGTCAATATCACACAATTAATACTTATTTGCACGTTGCTTTACAGCGTCTATATTGATGTAAATAGAAATAAAAATATTTAAAATAATGCAATATAGTAAGCTTGCATTTTATTTTCGATATAAAAGTAAAATAATTAATTAAAACATATATACACTCACAATGAAAACATACGAATAGCTTATTACGACTGGATCTGTTTAATTAATTTTTTTCTCTCATTTCACAACTGTACTGTATCAGGAAAAAAAGGAAATTTTATTATTACCTTATAACTTCAATATATCCACAATTTCGATATAAATACAATTAAATTCAACAAATAAATTAAGAGAAATAATTACTGACTGATCGTGGAAAAAAAATGCGAAATATAAACAATGTTGCAGACAGAGGTATAAGTGTGCATAATTATCGATTATTTAAATCGATTAAATATTTTGATTTAAGAGTAATAAGCAATATTTTTCAAGAATCATGACGCAAAGTAGAGAGATCAATCTAATTACTTAAACTTTCACAGCGAATAAATGTTATGGAATGAAATGTAATTAAAGAAAGAAACTTACAAATTTTATTAACAGGTCAGCATGGTCTAGAATAAATTGCGATTTGCGAACAACCTACTAATTGGACGTTTTGAACACGAACAAAATTGGTCGGTGCATTCATTGTCATCGATGAAAAGGACCTTTTATTGTTACGGACACGAACCTATTGTGCTTGTTAATTAAGAGTCGGTACTGCTGCAACGTGTAATTAAGCCTGACTAACCGCGGCTATCATCGAAAAACTAATATAAGTTAAATTATAACGGCAGCTACTAAAAGTCTACAGTATAGTTTTTCTCCTTTCTCTTTTCTTTACCCCTATATGGAAAACGTTAACCTTTCAGTTGAACATGCATTCTGTCATACGAATAAAGACATGAAAATTCCATAAAGAAACATATACTTTCTTGCTGAAGCATTCTAAACCATTTTTCACTCGTACTCGTGACTGTGAAAGACAAAAAAAGAATGATCATAAGAATAATCGATGGAGTCACATCGTAAATCTATTTCCACTGTCATTTATTATCTTAGTATTCTACTGCAGCGTCAGGTCTGTTCCGTCAATTTTTATAGATCGATATTTTCTTCATTTGATTCTAATCCTTGTTTTACGAAGCAAAGTCTCAAGTTTTCTTGAAAATGGAATAGCCGAAATTACGTTAGACTATGTCACGAGTAAACAAGTAAACGTAGTACAATGTTTCTACTTTCGCGGCTAGTAAATCACAGCAGAATGACATTTTCCATGAAACTATCGAGTGAATCAGTAGAATGACATTTTCCATGAAAGGATTTCACTTAATAGCGTTAATTAATCAGTAACTGGATTATGAACTCGTAATCGTTAATGGTGTTGCTATTAATCCAGTGTCGAGTAACCAACATTCAGGAATACTATCGCTAATATTATGTCATTTCATTCATCTGTTGTACTTGCAATTCGATCGTTATCTCATTTTTATTATAGAGTTAAATAAAACTCCCTATTCGATTCCCTATTTGCCTAACTTCTCGGCTTAACTTCTTTTATGCAATTTTCACGTTCTATTTTAAAATATCAACGTTCGAACTCGGTACCTCCACTCTTATTAGCTCTATCGTGTTCACGTTAAATTTGTCATCTTTCTAATAATTTTATGCTTCGTCTATGTTTGACAGTTATACATATAATTCTTTGCTTCTTCTACAACTTCTCTGAAGGCATGTAAATTATAGAACCAAATAATTAATAAGTCAAGGTATTTATCAATATTTTCAGTCTATTAAATAACTTCTTGAGAAAGAGATCCTACTAATAAATTTCAAGTTTGGTTTTTCAGTTTCTAACGCGGCAATAAAATAAAGAGAAAAATTGCTCGTACTGTTTATTTGCCGTAGAGTCACCATGTATCCTTTCCACATCGCTTCTAAAATCTAATTATTTTTTTATATAGTATTTACGACTTTTTTCAGATACCGGTTATATTTTGTGTATTGTTGGGAACCAGCAGCGTGTCGCAGGTGTCCAAATATTTTCAGAGTTTGTATGTAAATATGACATTTTTGGATTGTTTCATTTTTTGACACAATTTCGACGCCCTCATCTGAACGAGTTACATATAGTGGCGTGCTGTTATCACCACTTTCTTCGAAGTGTCAGCAGGGCATTCATCCCACACACCATTAAAAGTTAGAGCACTTGCAGATCAGGTACATTCTTCAACAACATTTTCTCTTCTTTCAAGAGCATGGACTTGTAAGTCCGTACGTATCAAACAGGAAGAAAGGTAGGAAAGGAATTAATTTGTTTTGACAGAGTGAGGTATTTCTTGCATACTTTTTATCAAAGGAACAAGTTCGAGATCGTTCAAGTTCAGTCGTCTCGTCAAACTAGATACAGCCGGTTTCGTAGTGGTCGTCGCATTCATTTCAGCAACTACCTTTCACGAATTGTTCTGTCGACTACTGAAAAAGCAATAATGGCTATATTGAACGAAAATGCTTTCTTGTGATACCAATCAGGGTCGATTAGTTAATTACTCAATAAGAAAAAAAAAAAAGCATTACATACAGAGTGTACATACATCGCGTTCGTAACGAAACTGTCAACCACGTTGATTTTTACTTGTTGCAGGAACTGTAGTTTGAAAAGATCATTGGTCGATCTCGCGGAACGAACCAATTTTATCGCGGTTACGTATCGCCAAAAATGTCAGGTGCTCGTTAAAATGGCTGCACCTCGACATAAGGTCGTGTAACCGTGAAATTCGTTTGCTCGTGAATGACACTTTTTGACATTTTCTCACAATTTCAGAGAGGTGCCACCGAACCATCCGCACGAACAAAGAAAATTTATAACTAAAATTTTTCACGAGTGAAATTTTTTTCGCTTGACTATTAAATTCGATTCTCGTTGCACTCTCTCTCAAATAACGGCGCTGTAAATTCCATTGGAGATTACGTTTTACTTAGCCACAGGTGAAATATTTGTTACGATAATGCGTACCTGCATTAGAATACGTATTTTCGCCAACTGAATGTGACTGTAATTACACTCGATGCCAAATATTCGCGCAAACATTATACGTATTGATCGTATATTATCCTCATTGATCATTGGTTTCCTTCTTTTTTTTTCTTTCTTTTTTTTTGTTGTAAGTTATTTTCATAATAATGTCGTTTGCGACACGTTCGACAGAATGATTTATCTTCGTTCACGATATTGACAAGCTTACTCGAAGACGCTCCTTACAGAAAAAAAGAAAGCGCGGAAATTTTAAGCAACGCGCAATTTGCTCGTCCGGAATTCGACGAAGATCAAAATTGAAATTTGAGGGAAATTGGGTATGTATGATACTTAAAATTGAGTATGTATTCGTTAAAGTAAAAAATGCAAAAAAAATTTAAATTTAAATGAAACAGAGGAGAGTGCATTCACGAAAATAATAAAACGGGATTGTCGAGCAGAAAATGGAACGGACTCGAGGCAAGAATCGCAGAATGTCTTCGGCATTGCAGCGTGACACAAAAGTTGAAACAACAGGAATAATAGGGATGAGGAGAAAGGTT